ATCCACTGCTGAAAGCAATCTACCAAATCCGATCGCCTTTCTTCATCCTCCCTTTGGATTCAATGTAGTTGAGTTCATACCAGAACGAAGAAGATGATGTGTTTCCGAACCAGTGCAATGTCATCTGGAGGCCTCCACGTGCTCCGACGAGAGCTGAAGGTTCTTCTGGAGATCGTCGATCACGGTCAACAAACGGTCAAATAGATGGAGGATCAAATCGTGTCAAAATTACAAAGTTAAGGACTTAATTGGTTGAAATTAAAAATCGAGGACCAATTTATAAATTTAGCTATAGTCGAGGGACCATTTTGGATATTTACTCTTCAATTAACTAATATAAGTAGTCAATCTGACTAAGACTATAAGCAATGAAAAAGAAAACCTAGTTAGCTGTTGCACCGCAAAAAAGGTGGGAAAATATGATGAAAAGCAAGGTGGGGGGTAAAGGGCATGATGTCCATAGGCATAGGGGGAAGGGGACAATGCATGGTGTGTAAATTGATTGAGGGCAGTGCTTTAAGCTACATCCACCACCTACTTTTTCCCCTTCCCTTCTCAGCTTTATTTGAAAGGAAAATACAATCATTGTTTTCTAAAGCTACCATCATTATACTTGTGTGGGGTCTTTTTGGGGATTTCCTTTTCCTCTGTCTGGGCCCCATTTTTATTCATATCTTACACATGGATCACTCTACCACTGTCCTATCCACAAGGGAGAGGTTGACCTAGTGGGGGTCACACTACACATTACGAAATAATCACGGTTCAGTTTGAACTGAATTATTTGGACTAAATATTACACTTTAAAGATAAAATTTAAATTAAAATCATATCGTATAGTTCTGATTTTGGTTTCGATTTAATAATTGGAAATCGAAACTATCGGTTTCAATTTAGAATCATGTAATTTCAGTTCCAAATTGAAAAAAAAAGCCTAATACTAGTAAAAGGGAAGTCACTTATTCTTAAAATATATAACTTAAAATATTTGATATAACTATTGTTTAAAAATTTCAAAAACAAAATTAATTGTTGCATTTGGATTATTTTAAAAATTGAAAATAGAATTTACAAAATAAATAAATAAATAAAAATCCGGTTTGCTATTTTCCAGAATGGTGAATCATTAGTTCTGAACTAGAGTCGAACTGTTGTTGCATCTAACACACATTTCAATTTTTACTTTTATTTTTATTTGAAAAAACGCATTTTTAATTCTTCAATTATTTTTTACTAGCCGTTTTAAACTATAATTTTTACCAATGCAATACACACCCCGAATTATGTTTTTAATTATTAAACGGTTTATACATTTAGTCATCAATTATATGCATCCAAATTTAAGATGAAAGTCCATCTCAAAAAATCAATTTAGTATGTAGAAGATTTTTTCGAATTTAATGTCATTTGACAAAAATTTCAGAGACGACGTGGAACCATATCACTTTGTTCACCTTGCTTTTTACAAATACTAAAACAGTAAAATGTGGTTAGGATTTGGAGGTTGGGCTGGGTTTTTTTATGATGGACCTAGGGGGAGGGGAGAATACATCAATAGTTATGCTATGGAAACGTATTCAGCATGCGCGTGATAAACATAAGGGTAGATCCATAATTTTTATACTGGAGATTCATAATTATTATTATTATTTTTTGAAAAACGTAGATTCATAATTTTGTTTTTCATTTATTGTTAACTGGATAGTTCCATAATTTCTAAGCTGTAGATTCATAATTTCTATACTGTAAATTCATAACATTTATATTGTAGATTCATAATTTCTATACTGTAGATTCATAATTTCTGTACTGTAGATTCATAATTTCTATATCTATATATACCAATGTTGCAAAACACGTTAGGCGCCCCCTAGGCGGCAAGGGGGCGCCTAGGCGCCGATTTTTTTTATTTATTTATTTTTATTTATTTATTTTAAAAAATTAAAATTTTTTAAAATTTAGTAAGAAAACATAAGGTTTCCATAGTTATTTCTTAGAAACTATTTACGAAAGTGGTTGTAAAAGTGTTCAAAAGATTGTTTAAACCATCTAAATACATAAAAACCTAAAATTAAGAGCTAAAGAAGCATTTTTTTAAATTGTCCAAAACGGACAACCGAGTCAAAAGTTATGCCTTCCCGAACTTTTCGCAATTTAAAACGCAAAAAAAAAAAAAAAATAAATAAATAAAGAGCCGGTTCGGCGTCGGTTCAGCCGGCTAGGCGGTCTAGGCGGCCGCCTAGACCGCCTAGCCGGCCGGCCGCGGAGGAGGCCGATTTCGGCCTTCTTCCTAGTACCTAGGCGCCGATTAATCGACGCCTAGACGCGATTTTTGCAACCATGATATATACTGTAGATTTCATAATTTCTATACTGTAGATTCATAATTTCTATATTTATATATACTGTAGATTCATAATTTTTGTACTGTAGATTCATAATTCTTGTACTGTAGATTCATAATTTCTATACTGTAGATTCATAATTTCTATACTGTAGTAATTTCTGTACTGTAGATTCATAATATCTTTAACAACAAATGAAAAATAAAATTATTAATCTACGTTTTCAAAAAAAATAATAAAAAATTATATATTTACAATATAGAAATTATAGATCTACCCATGTGTTTACCATACACATGGTGACCACGTTTTCACAGCATAATTTGCGAGAATACATGTATTGGACCTTTATGTCCATTATTAGAGTTACATTGGGTATAAATTTGTATTGAGATTGAGATTTTTTTGTATTAGATTACGAGGTGGCATAAGAGCATCTCCAACCTATCTATCTCCAAAACATCAAATTTTTCCAGCAAATGTTACATCAGAAGGAATATTTTCAGCATATTCTCACCAAATTTTATATATTCCCAATCCATTTACACCAAAACACCAAACTTCTACACTAAAATAATTTTATTTTTCAAATATTAATTCGAATTTAGTTAGTTTAATATAATTCAGTTCGAACTTAATTAGTTTAATATAAAATATAATTTGTAATGTAAATAATAATTTTTATTAACATTAATTTTTTTTATAACATTAATTATTTTAAAAAATCGAATTTAACAATATTTTTGAAAATTTAATTTATTCCACAATAATAGTACAACATACAACATCTAGTACATTTTATTATTATGTCTTATGTATTTTAATTTTTATTATGTTCTAGTCATGTTTGATGTATGTCGTATGTATTTTAAATTTATTATGTTCAAGTTATGTTTAATGTATTTGAAATTTTAATTAATATATATTCAATATTAGTCTTGTTTTGATCGTCTGAATGAGATATTTAAAATGGTATAATTTTTATTTAATAATAAAAAATTTAAATATAAGTATTTAACAAAATAAAAAATTACATATAAAACAATTAAAGGATACATTTGGAATTATAAAAAAAAAAAAGCAAGGGCAAAAGGGTATTTTGGCATTATATAGCGCTGCACTGTTCATTAACGTCATTCCCTTTGGCGTTATGGTGCGATGGCGTCCTACCTTGGAGAGAGAAATTTGAGGTGATGATGTTTTGGAGTTGGTAATTGGCGTCCGTTGGAGATACTCTAATTATTTGTATTGCATATGATTTCTTTTTAAGTAATACAATTTTCATTTAAAAAAAAAATAAAAAATCACATAATACTGTACTACTAAGAATCATTATATCGTGAATAATGGTCAACCGATCCAAAATGATAATGTTGGTTTAAGGTAGCATGCTTAATGAGCATTCACAGCTTTACCATACACTACATCACATATAGTGTAATGTTTAAATATAATAAGCGTTGTTTTTAATGAACATATAGAATAAACATTATGAATATACTACCGAATGAATGGAAAAATATATGATGTACCTATAGTTATATATATATATATATATATATATATATATATATATATATATATATTAAAGTTTAGACATATGATCATATATAACAGATATTATAAACAGAGTATAAGATGAATGTTATTAAACATAATATGCATATAGTGTAATGGTTGGATATTTATATACTCCCTTTCTCCCATTTTGTCTGTCCTGTTTACTATTTATTGGTCAATCCAACTCTTTCTTCATTGTTTATTTTCTTTAGTAATTTTTAATTATTTTTAAATTTGATTTTTTATGTTTAATAGTACTTTTAATGTAGTTTCTAAATATATAAATTTTATATACTTATGAAAAATTGAAGTAAAAATAGCTTCAATCAAGCCTCGAACCAGACAAACAAAATGGGACGGAGGGAGTAGTAAATGTGTGTTTGAGAATTTCAAACATGTTACTAAACTTAAATAGAATTTGGGAGTTGTGAAGTTGAAATATTATTTTGAGTTTAGAAGAATTTTATTAAAAGTTATTTAATATTTGGGGAATGAGGAGAGAGGGAAATCTCCAAGATTAAACTTTCCTAAGATTTTGAGGAGAGAGAAAAATTCTCCCAATTTACTTTACAAAGAACTAGTATTTGACCCGTGCGATGCACGAGATGTAAATTAAAAAGTATTAATTGTGTGTATGTTATGTTAAAAATTGTGTGAACTAATACGGTTAAATTTAGAACATATAAATGAAATATATTTGGGAATTCAACAAAAATCATATGAAAATGGTATGTTACAAATAGTTGCAAGGTGATGGTACTATAAAAAGAATACATTACAAAATTACAAATTATTGAAAACATCATGATATACAACATTAGTGGTTGATGTAGTAGTTGAACTTGAGTCTTTTACTATCAATATTTTGAGACCGTCTGGATTGTTAACCCGAGATGCAGCTACGTACAACTGACCGTGTACAAAAACCGGTTTCTTTAGTATTAAACCTACATGAGTAAACGTTTGGCCTTGACTTTTGTTTATGTCATCGCATATGAAAGCATCAATGGAAATTGCCTCCGTTGAAACTTGAACGGCAATCTTGGAACAGAGGGTGACATTGACATTCAGGGTATTAACACTTTTGTACCTTTGTTAGGACCAGTCTGCTAGCTTTGTGATTATCAACCGAGTTCCATTGCACAAACCAAGGGAATGGTCAATATTTCTCATTAACATTACTGGTGAACCGATTTTCAAAGTCAGTGTATGATTTGGTAGACCTGAAATCCGAATGCTGTTTAGAAATTCCGGTGTGTGTACATCTCCAAATATACCGTTGTCTCCATCGGCTTTGCATACTGCGTCTGAACTATAGTATGACCTTCTTTCGGCGTTATGCAACTCAGTCATATAGTCATTAACTGCGTTGACCACGTCGAGCGTTGGTGCTAATATAGCACGACCTATCAGATGCTCGGGGTCAGTGTTTCCATTTGCAAACATAGGAAATGTACTGTGCACAATTGTTTTAATATCGTCCCCTCCGGATGATAGTAACATGTGCTTTGGTATTTCAACCTCTGCGAACCCATCATTCCGCCCACCCAGCTTTCCATCGCCGATATTGGCAATCCAGTTAGCAAACTCTTCTAATGCCTGCCGGTTCCCACCGATGGGTACCGAACTTAGCCTGAGGTTTTTAGTCAACCTTAAAACTTTGCAACTATCCCATAGATATGATGAATTTATGTTTGAAGAAACAATATCTTGCCGTGTATATTTTGGAACTACTGGAAGAATTTGGCGGAAATCTCCACCCAAAATAACTGTTTTACCACCAAACGTTTTCATTTCACTATGAGGGTCTACAAAACGCAACAAATCCCGCATATTTCGATCTAACGCTTCAAAGAAATGTTTGTGCATCATGGGAGCTTCATCCCAAATTATCAAACTCGTCTTTATCAACAATTCAGCCAAGTCGCTACCTTGTTTAATGTTACAGGTAGAGTCTTCATTTATTGCAATAGGTATTGCAAATCTCGAGTGTGCAGTTCAGCCACCTGGTAACAACAAAGAAGCTATGCCACTTGATGCGACATTTAAAACGACCTGACCTTCGCATCGGACTGCAGCTGACAACGCTCTCCACAAGAAAGTCTTTCCTGTTCGACCGTATCCATAAACAAAAAATAAGCCACCTTTATTGCTTGCAATATCTTGGATAACAGTATCATAAATGAGACTCTGTTCTTCAGTTAGTTTGGCACACATCACTTCAGAATCTTTCTTCAATTGTTCCGAATTGTAACACAACTCTTCAAAAAGCAAACGATTTTGAAACAACCTTGAATTATCAGTACTTGGTATTGGCATCAGAGGGTAGTCTTTTAAAGACTTGTTTTGTTGCCCCAAAAGGTTTTCCAATTCCAATAATGCAAAGTTCTTTTTCTCTTCATCTGTTAGGACCAAATCTGTTACGATAACAACATCCAGATAGTTATAAGTATAACCTAAGAAAATTGTTGAAAACTTTATTGTATCATAAAAAAGTTACATTACCTTGTTGTTTTAATATTCTTCTTTGATAGTGTTGAGCATCTTCAGACAAATGTTGCCACACTTGATTCCAAACATTTTCGGGTCTAATAATTGAGGATGATGTTAGTAAAACAACAAATAGCTTCCTCAGTGAATGCGCAGTTGACCAGTAGCTTGTTTCATTTATAGCATCAATGTACTCTTTATCATCGTCTAGCAATCCATGAGCATAACACGCATCTCTAAAGGTCAAGTACTCAACACCGTTAACTGTCCTAATATCTTTGAAACTTTTTGGACCACGGACTATGTTCAATAGACACCTCAAATAATATATTTCACCTGAAGCTGGTGGTACATAGAATATTCGACAAATTGAGGAACCCTTCTTTCTTGGATGCCATTCACGGATGTCCTTTTTCCACACAAATTTGGTAGGCATCTCAATGTAAGTTAGTAAGGTCGCTTCTTTGAAATTTTGGTTGGCTACAAACCATGCATTAAACATACTTTGCCCAACGGTTTCTCTATTGAGGACATTATCAATCGTATCATCTTCTTTGAAAACAACTGATTGGCAGCCTGGCAAGTGAAAGCTTAATCTCTCAACCGGGGGAGTTCTGTACTAGACTTCAAAACTAAACAACCTCCAAGCTGCCTCGCATGCAGATATGTATCTGCAATCATAATACATGTTTATTTCATCCACAATCTCATTACCAGCTTCATCCATCGTAGTCTTATAAAACTCAGCAGTTACACGGTCGTTGCCCTTGTTTACATACTTGAATAGGTACTTGATTGACCTAGATTGGTTACACCACTTTACATTAATGTGGGATTTGTATTTCAAGAGCAAGTACCGATTATGTGGTACAACATATCTATTATCCAACTCTATTCCATTTTTTTTATTGTCATCTTATCATCCCTTCTTCGATACAACGGGTAACCATCTTGGTCAAAATGTGATGCATCAATGTATTTTTTTGGAAAATGCTTCGAACACTTGCCATTTGCCATGCACGGAGATTTACTCCTGGCAGCACCACACAGGCCGTGCAACATGAATTCTTCGACAGCTTTGTAGTACTCATTGTCTGTCAGCTTGTCTGGGATCTCGGCTGAAATGATCGTGTCCATAAAAGGGCAAAGTCGCTGGTCCATTGTAGGAACAGTAATATGTGAGCATGCGGAAGACCCCGTTTTTGAAACTCAACTGTGTATATAACTGTCAATAAACAGTTAGATCTTGTGAATTATAAGGTTCAGTGCATAAGTATTATATGAAAAATGTCATTTAGAAGGAATTACGGTACGCACCTGCCCTTACGCGACCAAATAGTTTCCCATTTTTTATTTCTTTTATTAAACAGTCTAGCTTCATTTTGAAAACCCGGCAAACAATGTTCGGACGATCTTCAGCTTTCAAATTTCTTTTCTCCAAGAAGCGTTGTATCTCCGGCCATTTAGGATTACATGTAAATGTAATAAATAGATTTGGATAACCTATAAATCTGCAAATTGCCATGACGTCTTGGTAGTTTTGTATCATGTATCTTGCTCCTCCCATGAAACTTGAAGGTAATATTATTCTCTTACCTTGAGAGCTGGGTTGAACTTCACCTCGTGTCAACGCATCAGAGAGACCTTTGTACGCCTCACACCTCAAAGCTTTTTGATTTGACCTAATATAGAGCAACCTCGAAGATTCAACCATAGTATACGCATCAACCAAGAATTGTTGGAATAACCTTTTAGCATACATTATAGTTGAGATCTCATTTGATCTTTCGTGAATACGGAACGCGAAGTACTCTCTTTGTGAAACACTCTTTCTTGCAAAATCTTGCTTAGTACCATGTGTTGCAAAATGTATATCTTCCCTAAAACCATCCTCTCCGTATGGAAATAAGATTGGGTATTGCAATGGTAAATAGGCTGGGTTTAATTAACTTATTCGTTTCAGGACTCCAGATCTAGACTCGACAACCATATCACGCTGGCCTATGGAAGGGTCTATATCTCCAACAATGAGAGCCGCAACCTCGGAAGTAGTTGGTAGCGCATACGTTCTGGCATCTTTAGTCCTCTTTCCTATTAATCTCATTCTAATTTGACTTTGAGGATTAGATTCCATAAATGACTTGGCCATCCGGAATGACTTAACCAACACATTGTGTTCATCTAGGACTTTCTTAATGTCATGTACTACCTCAAGATGCAATGTAGAACCATTGTTTTCCGCCGTAAAAAAGGAAGAATATATAATATAAGAATTTCCGTATTAACCCATGATAGCCCTAAAATAGTTTAGTAACACAAAATAGTATACCTCAAAGAGTTGAAGCGATTTTCTATCTCATTCTCTGTATCGTGAATGTATAATTGGGAAAATTTAGGTTGAATGCCAAGTGAAGGCAATAAACTTCCAATGCGATGAAAATTTTGACCATTAATACGGAATATAGGCGGCGATGTTCCGTTGTTAATAGTTCTATCAATTTTTCCACCCATCGACGTGAAGCAAAACGTGTTATAGGACCTTATATTCTTTAAAAAACATTTGTTTTTATCACTTGATGTAAAGAATATATCATACAACTTTTGAGGAGGCTTTGTCATGAATGGCAACTTTATCTTACCATTGACACAACATGCGGAGTATTTCGGCCTTTCACATGACCTTGAATTGCTTGACCGTTCATTGTACCAAAAAAATGAATTACAATGCTCGCAAACATAATCTGGATCACCAATATCAAAATAATAATCTAAAAAAAAGTAAAAATATATTAGTTCATATTTAACATAATAGTGTAGTTTAGTGTCGTCCAAAGACAATATGTTTTTGTCCTAACACATTTCATATGAGCTCACCATTATTTGAGGGCATATTGTCATGTAACGGTTCAACAACTTCCTGAAAATCTGACATCAAATTTCGGCAATGCTCGATGGTTTCACTCTCCGGCTCTACCACGACTATTTGCAGATTCTTGTCATTTGTAATACAACAATTACGTTCAAATCCTAAAAAAATAATATCCCATTATAATACATGATTATTAAATATTTACTTAAACATTATAACTAACTATCTAATAAAAACCTCTCCTTCAATGTATATTTATACCTAGTTGCGAATCTGGGGTTCGATTTAAGTCGAAGCAACGATTTTGACGGTTAGATGTAGGTGGTTTGCCGCGGTCCCCATTAACTGTACCGCAATTTGCTTTAATTAAAAAGATATCGTAGAAAAGATTTGTTAGAATAATAAGTATTCCATTTGACTATATATATAAATTTTTAGTAATCTTATTACAATATATTTGTTGAACTTCATACTATTTGATATGTTGCTAAATGACATTCTGCTACTCAAATCTTGCGTTGATGTAGTCTGTATTGTCGTTTGTAGCGGAAAAGAAACTGTGAATTGCAATAACAAAGATTATTATTAACTAATAGTTAAGACAAATGACTATAAAATTCGTACTTAATCTTTGTAGTTTAATATAAGTAATAAATACATCGCTTAATTCTAAATTTATACCTAGTTGCGAATCTGGTGTTCTATTTAAGTTGAACGAACGATTGTGGCGCTTTGTTCTCGGTGCTTTATCACGATCCCCGTCACCTCGAGCGCAATTTGCTTTAATTATATAACAGCCGTACAAAACACTTGTTAGAATATTAAGTATCCCATTTTATTGTTAGACAATTTTTACAAATGGAACGCTAAAAATATTGGTTGAGCTTCGTACTATTGGATATGTTGTTTAATGGTATTCTGCTACTCAAATCTTGCATTGGGGTAGTCCGAATTGTCGTTCGAATTGCAGAAGAAGTTGTGAATTACAGTATCAACGAATATTAACAACTATTCATTAAGGAAGTGAATTGTGTTAAAGACCACACTTACCATTTGTAACAATACTTAAAGGCATACTTAGAGAACTTTGGAAAACACCAATTAGCGGTGTACGATTGTCTGCATCCTAAAAGAATTTGAGGAGGCTTCCTAATTACAAAGTTGGTGTCAACAAATGGTAAGTCCCTAATCAGCACTAAGTCCCTAATCATGTAATTTCTAATCCAGGTGGTAGAAATTCACTATCATGTGGCTGCCAGTCATATTTTAATTTATTAGTTGTTGACTAAACTGCAGGTAAGCTACTACACAATCTCTGTTGTATAAAAAGATTTTGAAGAGAGCTTTAATTGTAAATTGTTGTCAACAGCTGGTAAGTCACTAATCAGCTCTAATTATGCACATTGGAAATTACAGTTCTACTTTCATTACCAAAGATAAGTTTTAAGTCCCTAATAAGCTCTCACTCTACTTCATTATACATAAGTTCCATACTCGTGCCATAGGATCTGCATTATCCTATGTTCGCTGAACTCATCTGAATTTGCATTGTCTTTTTACTTTCATCTAGTAATTGAAAACTAATTGAGTCTATGGTTTACTTAATCGAGTGTTGCTCTTGTCATGTTTAGAGATTCAAGTTTACTAAAAATATTTTGTAGCTAAACATGTGCAACTGTTTTTTTTTTCTTTTTTTTTTTACACTGCTTGAACTACTAATATGATTAAGTTAGAGCCAACATTTTTTCAAAATTGTGTTTTTGACTCCATTCTAAAGTTGAATTAACTGTCTGTTACTTTATCAAACTTCAAAAAGTTTCACTACAAGAAAAATGCACATAGACAACACTAGAAAGACAACAGTTTTTAAGAAAAGTGTTGTCTTTTGTATAAAAGACAACAGTTTGGTCCAAAACCGTTGTCTTTGATGCAGCACTTTTGTCAAAGACAACGGTTTTTACTTAACCGTTGTTATAAGTGTGTTGTCTTTGTGCATTTTGTGAAAAGACAACACCACAACAACAACGGTTTTTTAAAACCGTTGTCTATGTGCGTTTTTTTTTTTAAAAAGACAACGGTTTTTTTAACCGTTGTCGTTGGTGTGTTGTCTTTAAGCGCACTAGAATACACAACACTACAAAGATAACGATTTTTTAAAACCGTTGTCTTTGCGGATTATTATTTTATAAAAGACAACGGTTTTATTTAACCGTTATCATTTATGTGTTGTCTTTAATAGCACTTGAATACACGACACTACAATGACAACGGTTTTATATAACCGTTGTCGTTGCGCGTTCTTTATTTGTTTAAGACAACGGTTTTATTTAACCATTGTTATTGGTATGTTGTCTTTAAGCGTATTTGAATACACAACACTACAAAGACAACGGTTATAAAAAACCAACCGTTGTCTTTGCGCATCATTATTTTATAAAAGACACAATTGTATAAAATGAAAACAAAGATGTTAACAACAAGAGTTGAACCTATGACCTCAAACATAACAAATAAGGTTTAACCAACTAAGCAACACAAACTTTTATGTACTAAAGTGCAACATCTGA